ATTATCAGTTTCTCCACGAATTTAACTTACCAGTGTCGCTTCCGAAAAGCAAAACGCATACAAATTCAGTCTCGCCCTAGTTGCATGCATTTATTTTCATACCTTTAATGCTCTTTGAGTACTTGTTGTATGTGATCGATTACAGCAAGTATATTCACTATTAAAATTGTAATACAAATTGAGTAAAATAAATAATTACGCAGTGTTTGACTAAATATTGCTGACTAAATGAGAAAAAAATCGTCCTTGAATTTCAAATCATTGAGCATTTGATAAGAAGTTGAAAGTATTTTTATACATTTGTATTAAATTAATACAAATTAAGTTTTGGCGCCGCTTGTCAAGGCCCCAAGCGCCATATTATTTCCCTTGTTAAATATAGACTCATTGCACAAGTTCTATATTCATCTCAGTGGCTCTGCTTTTCCCACGCGTACGATCACAAACATATTTACATGCAATCTTCACAGAGACCGCCGAGTTGGGCTCCTGTTGCCCACGCCCAACTTGACGACACTTAACTCGTAACCGAAATTATTTATTTCGACGATGTGTACGGTAATGCACCACCGAGTGTTTTGTAAACTTTCATGCAACACTTCTGTTCAGGAGTGAGCTTGTTTACAGGCTTTATAAAGGTTAATTTTTTAACGTAACGTGACTTTTCACATTCATTCAAAAACTATTCTAGGTTGATGTCACAGAAAGATTATCTCATCTTATTTATATTTCGGTTGTAAGACGTTTCTTTAAATAATGACGGTGCAGACTGCAGAAGCAATATTCTTGTGAACGCGACCATTTTGATCCATGGTTGAATTAATATGTATTAATTCAACCATAATTTTGATCTGATATCTTTAGCTAACTTCAGAAATAATTTCATTCTGTAATGAGAATTTAGGCTTCAACTTTTGGTTTATTTCAGACTCCAGACATTTCTCAATACTTCCGGAAAGTTTCTTACTTCAAAAGTTCATCAAGATCTCAAATCTCTACTCACAGAAAGTAGATACATTTATTGCTCGGATATTATTGGAAACGTATTCGATTTGATGCTCCCGGAAGCAGACTCGAGTTGAGGTTAGAGTGCGAGGATAGAACGCCTACAATCGTGACGTCATCAGCAGCCAGATCAGGTCGATCTCATTACCATGACCAGGCATGAAACGACGAAGATTTCCTCCTACGAGGCAGTAATCCAACAAGTCGCCTATTCTTTTGCTGCTTGTACCGAGACGTGGTCCGACACCACACGGATGTGATGATCCTAAAACCTGTAAATTGAACGATCCTTGCATCTTGCAAGGATCTTATAACCCGACAGGAATCTTTTTAGTCTACCCTTGAAGACAAGATACCGTCTACCCTTCCAGCACATAATGGTAGCATGTTGATCAATTTAACAACATTCTATGTCTTTTCTTCACTTATGTTTCGTAACAGTGGCTTGGAGAGCACATTTCCCAAATGTTGAACTCTTGTGCAATGAGAGTAAGAGACTAACTATATAGATGAAATTCTGCATTAAGTTTGTGTCTGCAGGGCAAGTTGTTCAGAATAATTTTTTTTTTCAAGAAAAACCCAAATAACACTTTTTTTCACAATACGTTAACCAATTCAAATCTCGTCACGAAGAAAACCTGCAAACCTCACTAGACTCACTTAGGCTCCTGGGGCCATACTTTCAAAACTCGCTAAGTGAATGTAAGTATTTACGCTCTATTTTCTTGTCTATGATTGGTGGATTTTGCTTGAAAGGCCCTCAATGATTGGCTGATAAACTTACGATCTCTTAAACTTTTTTAAAGGTATAGGCCCTGGTCTGCAGATGGTACGGTGGCAATGGGAGAAAACAGAAGACACGAATGTCGTATCTTTACTTGAATTAACAAAATCACATGGTACGTAACAACTTCAAGGTTCCCAGGCACGGTCAAAGAAACGAATTATAAATAATTTTAGAGCAAAGAGAAGCTCTCGATAACTTCTCTAGAAACGATTTCCGGGAACAACATTTTTAGACATGAATTTACAACATGCACTCCAACACGCCATGCAAAATTTACAATGCACAAAAATACATAACCAATTAAGAAAGACTTGAGAGACACGACACGAGTAGAAAAATAGCAAAATCATGAACGAATGCAGTGAGAATAAATATGAGAATGAATGTACAATTAGAAATATGATAAACGATAGCATATAGTATCTTTAATTGCGTGTTCCTCTGAACTGGATTTGTGTGATAAGACATTTGGTTAAAATCAAAATGCATTGCTTTACATACAGGCATGAAAATTTTGCAATGACAAAGCGGACTAGTCGCTGGAGCGACACAAGTTAAGTTTATTGGTTAATAGTTGATGTCATAGCGAGACGAAACAAATAATTATGCCCCTTTAAACTAGCTGAGGCTCTCGGAAACTCAAGTAATCTCCATCATTTCACAGGCAACACATGCAATACTTGTATACTATTGGAATCATTGGTGCACCAGCTCAATGCAAATGCAGTCGTCGGTGAGGTGATGAGATTTACTCGGATTGTTGAGTTCACTAAACTAGAGGTGAGAAGTTAAACGGTGTAATTAGTTAGAAGTTTAGTGTCGTGCAAGGTGTAATTAGTCCTGCAATTTACGAGTAGTAGTAGTAGAATGATTTGCTAGCGCTTCAGCTATCAAGCTATTTCGCACCGGAGGTCAAAATCTAACATCGCCAGCGAGGCGGAAGGTCTCAATTATTCAAAATCTCAAATTAATCATCACCCACAAGGGGTCCAACATCACCCACAAGGGGTCTCAATGGTCCAACCCGCTGAAGCTGGCTCGAAGGAAACAGCGTCTGTATACGAAAGAGACGAAGTGACAAGAAGGGATAGGTGAAAAGCAACAGAGAGACACTCGAACAAGAGGTCGCTTACACGGGACGTCAGCCGCCCGCACGGGAGAGACAGAGAAGGGAAATGTAAGGAATCCTACCTACATAATAACTTAACCCCACAACTGAGATCTGCAGTCAGACACCGCGAGCTCAGCGGTGGGGCGCTCAGGAACAATCCCCCTAGGAGCGCGAAATCCCAAAGGACTTCGGACGAGCACAGACACGCGTCAGAAGTCCTCCCTGAGGGGGAAATTCTTTTGAACTTTAACCGCAAAGACAACGGAGGACTGCTTCCAATTGACCAGACATGTTAATGCATTGTTCTGATAACATCCTACAACAATTAAAGCGTTTGAATAATGATTCCAAATCAGCAGAAACTTCCTTCGTAATTCGAATATCTTTAAGAGTATTATCAGATTAACACATAAAATTCAGCTGCCGCGAAAGATTGAAATTCATGAAGCAATTGACTAGCGACTCAAAGTCGCTCACCCGCTGCTCTTGTTGCAGAAATCAAGGAACAATAAACGACAACAATCACTGCCACTAACAAGCCGACACACCTACAAGTAGATCTAACTGAAGCCAGAACACAACGTCAAGAAAATCACAGAAAGGCACATTCAAGTTAATTAAAAACGTTTTCGTTTACAATTTAGTGGAATCAACCTAGTAGGTACAAGCTATTTATATACAATTTTGTTACGATGAGTTATACAGAGGATGCCAATTATAAAAACAGTAACAATACATCACCATCAATTGTGACGTCAATAATGTGTACGAGTTTGAGAAAGAATTCATTTCTGGGTGCATAAAATGTCCAAATCTAAGATTAAAACACCATACCGGCATTGCAGAGGCGACGCTAATCGTCAAACATTCGTGTTTTTCATACTGAATTCTAATAATATCTAGCTGAGATCATAAAATGTTAGGCCAAGATGCACCGAGTGGCGCTCGTGTCGACAATAAGTGAGACAAAAGCAATCATTGATGTCAATGCAGCACTCAATTACTTACGTTTGTATCGAAGTTTTGTAAAGCCAATATTCTCCTAAATAATCTTTCATTCCGGCATGTAAACTAAAAATTCACGGCCTTTTCGAAGTAACAGCAACAATAGTAGGAAATTCGAGGAAATACCAATAGAATTTCATCAGTCACAGAACAATTTCACGGACCTGAAAACGTGTCAATCTTTCGTGCAAGATCGGTATTATTATAAAGAATAAGATAATAAATGATCGTATAGGTGTTTTTAGTGCGAATTTCTCTCGTAGAGATAGTGCAATATTTGTTGAGAGAGATTATATGAACATTTAAATGGCAACTGCTTAGCAGCACGAGAGAAGTATGTACATGGAAGATAAAATACAAGAACCCCTGAGACAAATGTCTTCAATATCATCGATTCATCGCTTCTCAGATACAATACAAATGATGGATAACAGAAAACCTTCATTAAAAACTCACTATTAGTTACTTTTCCTGTACACTGGCAACCACTATAGAAATAGCTATTCAAAGCAAAAGTTTGCATCGTTTTCCTGCTTTAGTTCAATAAATAGTAATTAATTCAATAATAAAAGTTCAGAAGAGAATAGTCGAGAATTTTTGGTTACTTTCCAGCTTCGCACACTAATGTCATATACCAAATGTAATCGTAACTCACATTTACATTATTCGCCCTACACCCCACAGCAATAGGAGTCAAATAATTACATTGCAAATGCAATCTGTACAATATCATCGGCGCATGGTCCTAGCCCTACGACTAGCGAAATGCAAATCAAGTCTTTGGTTCACTGTACAAGAGATACATTCGTTCACAGATGACAAATATATGAACTCATAGAAAAAAAACTTACAATCGAGCTTTTCCTGTAACATTCTTTGCAGCAGGTTACAAAATGGAACAAATGTACTGCGCAAAAAACCTAAAAACCCTGCGAGAACTAAATAGGGACGCACACTTATACTCGAAAACAACAAAACATATCATAGACTCGCATGGCATGGTTCGTTTACACTACAAAATTTCAATAGTAAACAAACAAGAAATTGCATTGCCTAAATTTCTTGCACAAACAGAAGATAATTTGGAGAAAGGAACATTTAGCTTCCATCCAAATGTAGAGCAACAAAAATAATCAAAGAATTCCCCCATAAATTAAAAATAAACATAAAAGATAAAAGAAGGGAAATCAACCGAAAGCCAATCCCTTTGAAAATCTTTGTGAACATAAGAGTTTAGTAAGCATCATGGCAAGAGGAGGTCTAAATTGGTGACACCATATAAATTATTGAGTAGATGTATTCATTATTTGTAGTAGAGGATGAAATGCCAACAGTGCAAGAGGTATGGAATTGTTTAAAGTGAAATATAAAGCATTGCAGACAATGCACTAAAACTAAAATACGAGGTTACCAGCCCAACATGTACCACAAAAAAACTGAGTATACATATAAATCATCCCTCGCAACGCACTGTACATTTAAATCTTCATTTAAAATTTTAACTTGCCAAATTAATTGCAACTTGTCTTAAATAGCCGCGGAAGTTCCCTATCAACTGTCCACCAGCCTTTGTATGTTTATTTGTGCCGCGGTTCACCGCCATATGGCCCTGCCATTTCTGTCAGCAATTCAACCATAAGGCAGCGGACCAATACGATCTTATTCGTCGTACATATTTGACGGTGGGCAGACAACGTCAACGGTGAGTAGCAAGCACTCACTTCAACACTATTCTCATACTTAACCCTATACTTAGACAACACCATACTAGTAAACACCGCCATATGGTCCTGCCATTGCTGTCAGCAATTCAACCATAAGGCAGCGGACCAATACGATCTTTATTTGACGGTGGGCAGGCAACGTCAACGGTGAGTAGCAAGCACTCACTTCAACACTATAGGTACTCATACTTAACCCTATACTTAGACAACACCATGTACTAGTAAATGTGCAAGATTTCATGGAAATAGATAAAATCACGTGGTTTGGTGAACTTTTGTTTGCCGAAAGAGCGACAAACCCGTTATCAATATTACGTGACAATCCTTACTACTGTTAAAAATATCAATCAGAGACCAGTCCTCAATTACACAATCAGATGCGTGTCAGTGTAGATCAGGAGCCGTACTTTAAAAACTATGTACTACTACTAATGGAGTACTTCACAACTCTATTAGCCAATCCATAACGTTCGTCAAACTAAAACCATAAATCAGATGAGAAATTTGCTGCTCTGTGAACTTAAACAAGTTTTGATAGTACGGCCCCCATCGTCAACTACCAACATCACATGCAAGACGAGCTTCATTAGTAGCGATTAGCTGAGCTAGTGCAGCTTGCGTGCGGATCCTTGACTTGCATAGCAAAGTTGATACGAGCTTTCATCCCCGCACGATCTTCTCCAACCAGTCTTATCTAATTCTAATGGAACTGTAAATCCTACAACTACACACTTATTAAAGCTAAGTTGACTTAGAAAGGCTCAAAGTGGAGAGCGTAGAGCTGTCTTATTAGATTTTATATCCAGCAATTAATATACAATGAACCATAACTTAGATTGTGAAGCGGGATTCACATCGCAATGCACACAAATAAAGTAATATACTATGGGATAAATTTCGTCATTTTAATTAGCTTTTGAATTCAGGATCACAAACACTGCCTAAATTGAACGACGGGATATCGGCAATGTTATTATTTAGTTAACAAATACAAATTATGAACTAGTCACAATCAACAGCTAGACGGAAGCACTGATAAAAGATGCTCCATCATAAGAACGTCAACCAGTCAAACGAATATCATTGGAACATGAACGGGTAATTAGTAGACTCTCGTCAGATTCTTCATGATACCAGAATTAACCTGCCGAGCTACCATAATATTGAATATAAGGGGTGTGGGGGAATAAATTTATTTTCCTTGTTACGGAAGTGAATGAACAATATATCTCACAATATAGTTATTCCTCGAAGCTAAGCTCATTCTTCCAATTGCAGGGTTGATGACTAGCAAAATTTTTGAAGCAGAGTTTAGTCTCCTAAAGTTGATGTTAGCAAAGCACTTTCCTTACAGCACTGAACCCTTGCAACAAATACACTAAATAACGCTAACATTTTATTATAACTCTCTAAAGCAAAAGAGCCGCGGCAGTATGGACAGAGCACGCATCCAGATCTCATTTGCACACAGTACGTGAATTTAAATATCTTAGATTAAGAGTTACACATCAAGAGGCTCGAGTCCAGCTAAAACAATTAAACAAATCCAAAAGGCTCATGAGCGTCGTCGTGCATCAGAGGGCGGCGCTCCTCAGAAGCATCACTAGGAGTGTCAGGAGCTGTGGCGTCCTCAAGCGTGTACATGACGCGCCAGTCCCGCTGTGACGGACGCAGTAAACCGAAGCATCGAACGCCCAGCAGGTCGACCAAGTTGCGGCACACGCCTCGATTGAAGGGAGACCTCACCTCGCCCTTCTTGCCCGTCTGCTCAATCAGTCGTACAAAATTAAATGCTGAACGACAACATTCAGAGAAAAAAATAGTTTTCGGTAACTAGCTTGAATGAAAGCTTTGTAGCAAAGTGTAGGCAACGGGCAAAATCTCAAATTAACTGACGTTAGGTGTTCGAAGTCATAATTATTACGTATATTATTATAAATATTGTAATGTGACCATGTTAGCGCAATTCTGTAATGCTAGCATTGGATTCAACATCACTCTCCCGGGCAATTGCTGGTAACTGGAGAACGTTGGAAATAATCCGGCCTACAGTAAAGATCAACCCTGCAGTGGACGCGTGCAAAAACTGACCAAATGGTCACCCTTTTGTTCGGTTTCCTTACGGTCGATTTTCGTCGGCATAATTACGTATGTAATCCGCGCGACCACTGTAGGGTTAATCAGACAACTGATATCTATCAGGAACTATGAGCTACGTGGGGCACAAGATCAGAAAGAGCTTCTAAACAGCATAGACTTCTGATGGCTTTCGTGATGGAAATGTTAGGTCAATGATTGGCCGAATTTCAGTGTATTGGGCAATAGTTGTGCGTATTAGGTGCTTACAGATCAACGCGTACAGCCAACCACCTGCAGATGAAATAATAAATAATCATCAGATATTTATTTCATCTGTAGGTGGTGCTTCACAACCTAGCACTGGAATAATTGATACGCAGCAGAGATATTCCATTAAACGTACTTGAAAATGGCGGTATCTGTAGCAGTTCATACGCTCATTTGTCGTCATCGCCAGAATTAAGATCTGAAAAAGAACACGAATCAATATCAGTATCATTTACGGCTGAGTCACGTTTCGGTCGTTGAATAAAATAATAGCACTTTAGGAGTACAGTGGCTTCAATTTGGCTAAATGAAAAAATTTCGTCAGGATGTTCCCGTCACAGTTAAAAAGTCTTTCTAATAAAGATAATACTGGAGGTAAATGCAATTAATGCATATACAAGTCCGTTCACAATATACCCTCTATGAAAGCCAATGTCGTTAAGGAAAATGAAGTAATTTAACAACCGACAATAGTCCTTATGGAATCCGATGTCAGAGAAACTGAAATGATTTATTAACCGACAATGGCTAGGACCTAAATTTGCTCCTGGAGTAGTAAATTAGCTCATTAAATGATAAAAGAAAATGAAATCTTGCGCAAAACAGGATTTAACAGACCTGGTAGAGCTGGCAGGCGAGGAGGGTGGTGACCCAGCCGACGTGCAGCAGAGCGTTGCTAGCCACCCACGCCACCCACGGTTCACATGTCCCCGCCATGCCTATGCCTGTAGACACATTTTGCTTTCTTATAAGAGTTTTTTACCCATTCACATTGCATGTACACTTGAAGTCAATCTCAGTTAGATATACATTTATAATTTGGTCAATATTACCCAGAGGATGCCAGTTTTCGAGGCACTACATAACTCGCGAATAATATGATGAATCTTATAAGCCAATGATCGTAATGACAATTAAACATTTTGCATAGTATACAAAAGAACGAAAACATTACATAAAAGAGGATTTTATGCACTCGACTTGCTTACTTTCCCGACTAATTTGTGAGTTAAACAAAAAGAAAAACCCAACTTGCCGAGAACATACCAGTCCAGAGGCCGACGTGAGGGAAGCTGATGCTGCAGCTGACGAGCCAGAACTCTATGCAGCCCTTGAGCATGAGGGCGCACATGAGGCTCAGGCTCAGCAGGTACCCCACGAAGTAGCGCAGGTTCAAAGCGCCTGCAAATGAAATAAAGTATAATGATAGATTCTAGGCAGCAGCTAGGGGGGAAAGCAAACAATATCAGTGAAGTCATGAAACAGCTTTCATGATAAAATGATTGTAAGGGACGAGTATAAGGAGCAATCCATTGCTGGTTTCAACCCCACGAAGTAGCGCAGGTTCAAAGCGCCTGCAAATGAAATCAAGTATAATGACAGATTCTAGGCAGCCGCTTGGGGGGAAAGTGAACAAGATCAGTGAAGTCATGTAATGAAACAATTGCGAAACAGCTTTCATGATAAAATGATTGTAAGGGACGAGTATAAGGAGCAATCAATCGCTGGTTTCAACCCCACAAAATAGCGCAGGTTCAAAGCGCCTGTAAATGAAATAAAGTGTAATGACAGATTCCAGGCAGGAGATTTGGGGTAAAAGGAAACAAGATCAGTGAAGTCATGTAATGAAATAATTGCGAAACAGCTTTCATTATAAATCATTGTAGGGGACCAGCATAAGGAACAATCCATCGCTGATTTAGCTTGCATATACAAAATTATGACCATAGGTAATCAATTCAATAAGTTTATTTCTAAAATTCAAACATATGTTTTTATCATCGGAAAACTTTTTCAATTAATTAAAAATTTCAACTGAAGCACAAATTTCAGTAAGCTTGATTATCATGTTTACCCCATTAGACTCCCTAGAGCAACTGGCCAATAAGTTTGTTTCTAAAATTTAAACATATGTTTTTATCAACGGAAAACTTTGTTCAATTAATTGAAAATTTCAACTGAAACACAGATTTCAGTATACTTGATTATTTATAGGCTGAAGTTGAAGTGCAAGTCTCACCAATGCAGTACCTCATTAGACTCCCTAAAGCAACTGGCTGAAGTTGAAGTGCAAGTCTCACCAATGCAGTACCTCATTTGACTCCCAAGAGCAAGAGGCTGAAGTTGAAGTGCAAGTCTCACCAATGCAGTACCTCATTTGACTCCCAAGAGCAAGAGGCTGAAGTTGAAGTGCAAGTCTCACCAATGCAGTTGCCGACCCAGGGACAGTGATGGTCGAACTTAGCAACGCATCTGTTGCAGACGGCGCAGTGCTTGGAGCGCAGAGGCCGGCGCACCAAGCAGGTCGAGCAGAACCACGCCGGGTCAAAACCGTCCTGCTCCGCTAGTTCTACAATCGTCTGCTCAGTACCAGAATAAATGCAACCATCATTCTTCAACGAACTTCCCGGCAAGAATATTCTAAAAATATACAAATTAAAAGTTGAACAATACAAACAGAAGATAAATATGTAAAGATTACATCATTTTATCGCTCTATATTACTTTTACAATACCCCACTCACAACCCAACAAGCCACAATTCCTGGAAGTTGAATCATTTTTGCATGTATGTTTCGTAAGCGTCAAGGAAAGCCCCTGAGTCAATCTAATACGGTTAGTTGTTATTTTATGTGTTGAATCAGCCAACGCTGTGAAGTGGGCTAATTCAATATGAGTAATATGCTGTGAAAAAGTACTTTTTAAAGACCGCACTTCTAAAGAGGCCGGTGTCTCTGATGTTACACATGTACAATGAATTTCTTATTTTAGTTACTATTATTATTTAAAAAAATTAATTGTTTTAAATGTTTACAAAAATTATTTACAAATTATTCATTCTGTCAATTGATTCAAGCATTGTCTCCAACTTTACGCAAGTGTGCAAAGTTTCAGATCGATTGGACAGGTAGAAGTGTGTTAAATATCGATTATAGGATTTGTAGCAGAAAAAAAGTGAGGTTAAAGAGAAGTGTGGTAAAAAAAAGTAGGCATAAAAGTGATGAAGTGAACCTTGTATTTCTGTGTTTGATCTGCAGCGATGATGCCAGGATCGCCTCGCCAGGCCTTGATGAAGTTGTACCACAGCAGCAGCGAGCTGCCCATGAACACGCAGCTGAACCACAGTCCAACGCTGTCGTGAATATATATCACCCATGTCACGTAGAACCAAAACTGCGAGAGAGATAAACTTGACGTCACTGCAGGTAAATACAACACACCTGTTCTTAAACACTAGCTGGCAAATACCTACTATCAATGCTGAAAAATGTACAACATTGGATAATGATGATCAGCTCAAGTCAAAAGCATGAAAAAATGAGCAATTTTCCGTGACATGTGGTGTTAATACGTCAATTCAATTACTTTAGTGACAAGATAGACAGCCATGTGGTGTTAATATGTCAATTACTTTAGTGGCAAGATAGACAGCCATGAGGTGTTAATATGTCAATTACTTTAGTGGCAAGATAGACAGCCATGTGGTGTTAATATGTCAATTACTTTAGTGGCAAGATAGACAGTCATGTAGTTAATATGTCAATTACTTTAGTGGCAAGATAGACAGCCATGGGCATGACTGTCATAAGTCTATCATCGTAGAGGAGAAGCGAGGCGCCATAAACAACGAGGTAGAGCGCCATGAAGAGCCCCAGCTTGATGACGTACAGCATCTCCAGTTGAAACACCAGCCCGACCACGTAAAATATCAGCACGGGACTCAGCATCATCGACCAGTACCGTAATTTCTGTGGAATGCTTGCTTTGTTAGGTGAACATTTTTGAAATTAAAACAGGCTTAGGGTTCATAATCTTTGGTCTTTAACAAATATTGGTTACTAGTTCATCTGAAGGTAATTTCAGTTATAGATAAATCCCTGCTTTACCTGTCAAACGTTTAAGTAAGATTGTGATCATTAGATACACAAAAATTACGTAGAATAGGGAAATATGGTTGCAATATTAGATCATCTAAAAGAACAAACAAGTGATTTCTTTGACGGCCACATGTAATAATGGTCAATTATTATATTCAGTCCCAAATTCATCAACATTTGATGTCAATTCATATATGCACGGTTGCAGACGATTGATCCTCAACCAAATAAACATGAACAGAAACAGCGAAATTTATAACAGAGTTTAGTGAACAAAATAAATAGCACTTCAGACTAAGCCATCTCTTGCATTGAGAGCTACCAGTCAGGCATACCAAATGATGCTGGGTTCACTGCCTTATCTTTATATAGTCATAAATATTGCACAGCTCTTGTTTATACCTCAGGAGAGATCGACAACTTTAGTGAAATCAACAAATTCTTTTATGGCCCATCTTTTATACGCTTACCTTATCACGGAAAAACCGATAAATGAAATTTTTCTGCTGTTTTTGAGATTCTTGTACTTTGTCCATAACCTTCTTGTCAACCCAATGAGATTTTCTCTTCATTATAAGACTGTAAACAGACAAGCCCTGCGCACAGATATACAAAATTATCAGAACATCCCGTAATTTTAAATTCAATTCTCTCAGATGCAACAGTGACAACAAACCAGTGATGATATCCAGATATGTTCAAGCTCAGGCAATATATCAAACTCCAAGCAATTTTGAGTATAATTTAAGACTGATCATCATTATTGTGATAGTATATTACTTATTTATTATTGCGATAGTAGGTATATTATAGGGGTGAGTCTGTGACCTAGGCGTTTGGAGAGACTGATGCTCATTTTTGCGATAGTATATTAGTATCACTTAAGTATAGGAGTGAGTCTGTGACCTGGCGATAGTATATTACTTATTATTACTTATTTATTATTGCGATAGTAGGTATATCAAAGGAGTGAGTCTGAGACCTGGCGATAGTATATTAATTATTACTTTTTTTTAATGCGATATTAGGTATATTATAGGAGTGAGTCTGAGACCGGTTGATAGTATATTAATTATTTATTATTGCGATAGTAGGTATATTATAGGAGTGAGTCTGTGACCGGTCGATAGTATATTACTTATAATTACTTATTTATAATTGCGATATTAGGTATATTATAGGAGTGGGTCTCTCACCTAGGCGTTTGGAGAGACTGATGCTCATTTTTGCGATAGTATATTACTATCACTTAAGTATAAGAGTGAGTCTGTGACATGGCGATAGTATATTACTTATTTATTATTGCGATATTATGTATATTATAGGAGCGAGTCTGTGACCTGGCCATAGTATATATTACTTATTTATTATTGCAATATTAGGTATATTATAGGAATGAGTCTCAGACCTGGGCATTGGGAGAGTCGATGCAGGCCCCATGGTTGACAAGGACGGAGGCGGCGACGCTGTTCTTGGCCTGCACAGCCCAGTGCAGCGGCGTGTTGCCGTGCAGTCTGTCACGGGTGCTCACGCTCGCTCCAAACGTCAGCAGCAAACGCGTTGGGTCCACACTAACACACAAAAATTTATATTTATACTCAACATTCATTGCTAGGAAATGTTTTCATAAATAAAGACGGTGTACCGTGCAGCCTGTCATGGGTGCTTACGCTCGCTCCAAACGTCAGCAGCAAACGCGTTGGGTCCACACTAACACACAAACATTTATATTTATACTCAACATTCAAAACTGGTAAATGTTTTCATAAATAAAGACGGTGTGCCGTGCAGTCTGTCACGGGTGCTCACGCTCGCTCCAAACGTCAGCAGCAAACGCGTTGGGTCCACACTAACACACAAACATTTTTATTTATGCTCAACATTCAATACTGGTAAATTATTTCAGAAATAAAGACGGTGTAAAAAGTGATACAAACGATCATTCTTTACGATGCAAAACTAAAAATATAACTCAGTACTCACCGCAGTGAGTGACAGAAAGCGCATTTTCTCGTCGACAAAAACTTGAAGTCAAGGACGGACGGACGGACATGGTGAGCACAATAGTGCATTTTTTCCATAAATGAGAAAAATGCGCTAAAAACCTGATATTTTCTGTCATATAACCAATTAATTATTGATCTAATGAGATCAATTAACATTAAAAAAACATCTTATCTTGCAAACAAATTTATGCATGACCTAAGCAGCACCTGGTGACTCTGTAGGCACTCCACATGAGCGGCGTCATGCCGTTCTTGTCCCTCATGTCGACGTCGGCGCCCCTGGCGAGGAGGTACGCGACGATGGCAGTGTGTCCGAACTGAGCGGCCAAGTGGATGCAAGAACAGCCCTCACCGTCACGCATGCTGGGGTCTGCCCCGTACTGGATCAGCAGCACCACCATGCCCAGGTGGCCTTGTCTGCACACATACATTAATAGTTCATGAACCTAAATGTATAATTTCATGAACCTAAATGTATCATAAAACGTACTCTGCACAAATACATTAATATTTCATGAACCTAAATGTATAATTTCATGAACCTAAATGTATCATAAAACGTACTCTGCACACATACATTAATATTTCATGAACCTAAATGTAATATTTGATGAAACTAAATGTAATATTTGATGAAACTAAATGTATCTTCCAACGTACTCTGCACACCTACATTAATATATCATTAACCTAAATGTATCTTCCAACGTACAATACGCTGGCGGGACACAAAAAAATCTATATCACAGACTAATAGTCATGAATAAATCATTTATTTCGTAATTGCTCCTTCGGTATACTTGACATAATTGTTTTAGTCATGAAGATGCTCAAATTATCTCAATGTGTAACAATAGATTCTGCAATAGCGACAGTTACTAAAAAATAAACAATATTGAAATATTTTATAAAAATTATAACAAGAGAGGAAAAAACAAAATCAATTAACTGTAAACTTGATGAAAGCATTACACTTGAAACATACAACAAACCGTGTCGCCCAGTGCAGTGGTGTAGAAAGTAGCTCGCCTCCAATGGCATCCACCACTGCACCTTTTGTGATGTAGTATCTGCAAACAAGCCCAGAAAATGACGACACAAATTACGGAATTGCATGCAGAATTTTCAAAGCAGTAAGTCCGGCAGCACAACTTGAATGTGTTGCATAACTTTTGATAACAGTTTATTATGTTTTCTCAAGACTACTAACTTATTTTAAACTTCAGCAATCACATGAGTCATTAAACATCATTTGGATGAAAATAACTACGCAAGCAAAAGAAATACCAACTTCAAATGAAATACTAATTTTAAAAAAATACTAACTTTCAAAAGAAATGTCAACTTTAAAAAAAATACTAACTTTTAAAAGAAATGCTAACTTTCAAAAGAAATACTAACTTTCAAAAGGAATACCAACTTTCAAAAGAAATGTTAACTTTCAAAAGAAATACTAACTTTCAAAAGGAATACTAACTTTCAAAAGGAATACTAACTTTCACAAATGTAGAAATTAAAGGCAGTATTTAAGTAATTACTTACTTGACAATACTTCTTCTGTTGTTGATGGCGGCCCAGTGAAGTAGAGTGACGTTTTCACTGTCTCTTCTGTTGACATCATATCCTGCCTCGACTAGCTCCTGGCATCGCTCCAGTGCACCGTACTGAAATGATGTAAATGCAAGGCACAACTATAAAATTACTATACATATTACTCTAAAAAATAATCCCATTATCTATCTACTTCTTTTGCTAAATTTGCTGTGACATCAGCATCTGCATTTACATGATGGGCATTGAATAAGTTTTACAAATTACTTGCTTCAACTTTGGTATCTCAAAGTGGTACTTATGCCATTAGCCATTGACGTATTCCATACCAGACAAGTTCATAACTCAACCAGTCAGTGCCGAATTCTAGAGCAGTGTTAAATTAACCAGTACAAATTGCATAGGTATTGGAAAGACCATAACACAATCAATCACAGTCTGGATAGGATGACATCACAATCCTGCCAACCAATCACAGTCTGCAGAGAATGCCATTACAATCCTACAACCACTCACAGTCTAAGAGTGGATTACAGTTTCTAGATGGACATGTGTCCAAGAAAAGTTTGTGGATACAAATACCTACTCTATGTTTACCAGCAGGCCTAGTTAGCTACGAGTCCACTGTGTCACTGAGTTTGCCTCAGACAATGAGTTGACAGCTTATACAGCATAGGTACCTATGTGTCATGAGGAAAAGAACCCAATGAACGGAGGTACAGCCTGTAAAGGGGCTGGAAACCTTAGCCAGTAATGTCAAGAGCACAAGAACCCAATGAACCCAATCCCAATGTACAGTCTATAAAGGGGCTGGGAACCTTAGCCAGTAACTCAAGTATGTTGCTATGTAACTAGCATTAAAGCTACTCCGACCTAATGGTCAATGTCTTAGCCTTATGCCACTAATATAACTCTCATGTAGAATCACCCCTGAATCATGATAAGTTCTCTAGACAGATGGTGTTTTAATTATCCACATGCACTTAGTCCACAAATCCCTGTCCTTAGGTTCAGGTAGAAATATATATAGTGTCTGGAGGCACATAAATGTGCCTCTGGACACATGCATCCACCCAAAAATGACAAGCTTTGTGTGCTATTCTAGAATTCTACACTGCAACCAGTACCAGAATAAAAAAAAACAACTGCTGTACATCCAAAAAACATGAACTAATCAAATGTAAGAAGAATGTCATCAAAAACCAGCTGTGGCAGGTCATAGTTATCTAATGTGGCAAGAAATACTACTACCTGTACTGCATTTTAAATTGAAATATATTTATAATGTCTGTTCTATTTCATGGTGAATCATTAAATTGAATAGGGGATTTGGCAAGCATTAAAGAAGCATTAATTGAAGAAATAGCAGTCTTCTAAATCATTAAATTTCAAAAGGAATAAATAATAAATGCTTAAATTTATATAGACAAGTTTCATCTTAAAAAATTATTAACAAACTACAGAAACTGAGTAACAGAAACAAATCTTACCTGAGTTGCTTTGACAATGTCAAAGTTTGAAAACTCTGACTCATTTTGAGGCAAAATTTCTTCAACTTCACTGAGACTGTCATTCCCTGCCTCCCGTTCAATTCCATACATGGACCCAGGGTTGCATGCCTCCTGTAATGTTTGAAACTCTTAACAAACAAGATATTTATAAATGACATTGACAGACAGGACAGTTTTCACTTGGAAGGTTTAAATCAATATTTCAGCTTGAAATTCACAAACACTTACCATATCTAATATGTACACCATAAAAAATATATTTAGAGAAGCTGATATAAAAGGTGTTGATGGAACCTTTAATTATCAGCAAGATCAAAGTGTCTAGCTGGAAAAACTGAAAAGGTGATATTATGACCTAAAATGTCTATTTCACAGTCTGGTACTGTATTATAGATAAATTATTTGATATAGATCATATGGTTAGCAAATTTCCATGTACAGAGAAGTTCAATTGGTGACAGCCAAGCAGCATGCTAGTCTTCAGTATCTTGAAGGCAACTAATTGATCAGCCTCAGCTCAGAATCTGGCATGAATGAGCCATAACCATACAAGAGGCTCAATATTTGAGAATTTACTTCATGTTACGGAAAGATCGGTTTCCAAAGGCTGGATCCCTTGTGAATCGAGTCACAAAAAATTCAAGAATCGGCAACAGGCAATGGGCCTATTTCTTCAGTACCAACACTTCTACTCTATTCTATTCTATGTGATCACTGGACTGTATTGAAGATTTATTTCCTTCATTCTTTCCCTTATCAAGTATTTACATTTTAGTAGGAGCCATATTGTTCTAATGCTTTGACAGTACAAGGAACACTTTCAAACATGTCATCCTAATATAGAATTTTTATCTACAATTCACTAAAGAATCCTATTGAGAGTATATATGATGTGGTATGCAAGTCACATCCCAGCTCATACAATATCAACTTAATTAATGCTCAACAACCAGAGCAGAAATCACATGCAAGTGTATGACAGATGGCACAAACTATCACCACCCATTTGTTTATAAATTAACAATGCCGTCTATTTTTTCATGTTATTTTACCTGATAAACCACAAATTACGTCTTCAATGTAAGCATCACCGTAATGCCCAAAATAAAAAGCCAACCTGCCACAAGATACATAGTTGCAAACATTTCAAGTTCAGGCAGAAAAATGTTTTTACAAATTGATTTACATACAATCTATCAAAACTTTCCAAGTTACAGTGACCAAAAAATATTTACAAGCTTCACAACAGAATTTTATGAAACCTTGCAGGCTTGCACTCAAAGTCTCAAGAACTCATGTTTGTATCTAGGTAATGTTATTTTGTGAATTTCAAACTCATTTATATACATGTTTTATGGTAAGCTTGCCAGATGGTTTACTTAGTGACATAAAACTAACTTCAAAGTCCTTGATACAAATTCCAATAGGTTAGGATTGAATTAGATTCAAATCAACAATGTAATTGTTGATTTGAATATTAATTATTTACCATTGAACTGCCCCTGTAATCATATATATAACCTGCAAGCCTAATCATAATGAAATAAATTGGCAGAACCTGATAATGAGACAAAGGGCTCAAAGATTTTATGTGTGAAGTTTCAGTTAGAACTGTTAAACTGTTCACTAGACATCTATGGGCAACTGCAACTTGTAAAATAAACATTTTGATTCCCAAGAATACAAAAAATCTGACATGCCACATATATAATGATTGTGATTTAACACAGCTAAATTATTACTGGAATAAATTTGCCATACAAAGCCTTTTTTCCAAACAAATTTGGACACCTATTCTTGCTTTATCTCATTTTAGTTGATTGTGATTTTTTTCTGATGATTTATTAGTACTTAATATTAATGTTACTGAGAATTTTTTTATTTTATTCAAGAGAGAAGCTAGATACAATACAGAAGTCAGAAGATAGAGGACAGGATCATTAAAAATTCATTCATTCATATGAATCAAACATAAACACAAAATTGTAGTTTGTGATCTATAAAATAAATTTACAACTTGGTGCCAAAGAGAATATCTACAACAGGCATCAAATTTTTCCGTCAATACAGTTTTACATCCAAACAACTCTGTAGGATGAATCAAGATAGTAACTTTCTATGACAATTCTCCAAATTGTCAGCTTTTGCAAGTCATGCATTAAAAAGTTAACTGTTACTCACCTTACAAAAATTAACCTCATTTGCAACAATGGTATTAAGGTTAGAAAAAATATGTGAAGAAAATATCACAGTACCATCTAGTTTCAACTAATAAAAAAGAAAAGATTACACATTATTAATAATAGAAGATACAAAGAAAAGTAAGAACCTGCAATGTTATTAAGCATTTTTCCATTTCTTATAATTAAATCAAAATTGCAGGGAAAAATGAAATAATGCCAACATAATATTTATATTAGAAATATATGTAGTTTAGATTGAACAACCAATTCATATATTTGTATTTTGATAACCAGGCAACAGTTTAGCTTCAATACCTATCTCAGCTCAGCCTCTCAGATAGGTTCGTGTCAAAAAAATGTTCAAATACCTTGAGTTTGACAGCAGAGGAAAATTTAACTAGAATAGGTAGGGTAAACACGGTATATTCCGTCACATTAAGGACGCATCAAGNGTCTCTTATACACATCTAGATGTGTATAAGAGACAGAGTTTGACGCACAAATGTATGATGTCACCATTTCAACCATCAACAAACGCATGGAACTAAAACAAAGCTTAATATAAAGGAAAAACTAAAGAGGTGACGGAATTACCTACTATGACGGAATATACCGCGTTTAGCCGTTTACCCTATTTGGCTTTTATTAGAATGACAGCTATGAGGCAATGGTAAAGGGGAAAATCCTAACCAGTGGCAAAGCAAGTTTATAATCTTCCTCAAGTTAATTTTGGAGTGCTATAAGTACCAGTAAAGTATCATGGAACTAGCATTATCATGCATAAGATATTGGCTTATTATATTTTGTGTAAATTATGAAATTAAAAATGAACCAATTCTAAAAAATCTCTGGTTTGTCACTAGGCTATGAAGTCTGGCTGCTTAACTTAGGCTAGCTAAAAGCCTATCTGAAATTCTTTATTAAAGAAGTATAGAGACGCAAATCTTTTATTATAATTTTTGAAAATGAATTATAAATTTATCATTTATACCTGCAATTTTTGAAAAGCTCTGCAAAATATTCCACATTCACATTGGCTTGCACTTGCAGAGTTGCAGCTCTTTTGTGCACTTTATTTATAATTAGAT